AAATATTAACGATTATAATTTTATTATTGTAAGGTTATCCAACTTGACTCGGTTACCATGGTGATTAAGATCCAAATATTGCAGGTGCTTGTCAAAATTGAAATTAAATTTAAGTTTTTTTAAGGAAAAAGTCTTATTTAATTAGTTTAAAAGGCTGTATTTAACTCAAAATTGGTTTCTCTAGGGTATTATAAACAAGGTAAGTGGATTAAATAAAAAAAAAGATATTTTTAATTTATTTCTCTTAATTAGAATCGACTTAAATTAACAACAATTAACGAATTTGTTATGAATGCGAGATAATCGTAAAGAATTCGAATTGTTTTAAAATTAATAAAAATTAGGTTAGAATTGATAAAAAAAATCGGAATAAAATTTTATTATTTTAAGGTTATCCAACTTGTCTCGGTTACCATGGTGATTAAGATCCAAATATCGCAGATGCTTGTCAAAATTGACCTTGAATTTAAGTTTTTCTAATGAAAAACACATCATTAATTGGATTTAAAGGTTGTATTTAATTCAAAATGGGTAAATGGATGAAATGCAAGGTAAGTGGATTAAATAAAAAAAAAATTTTTTAGATCAATTAAAATGTACAAGAATTATACCTGCAACTAGAATGTTTTAGGTTTAGCCGGGCGTCTTAGACAAGAACTTAGAAAACTCTGAAAACGCACGGCTAAACCCGAATATTTCTAGTTCTACGTCTAGTGTTAGTTCTAGTTTTACACTAGCACTATCACACTTATAATAAGTACAGTATGGTAATTAATTATCATTGCAAGTATGCAACCAATATCACAATGAATATATCTGAATACGGAAATCGCTTATTGCAATATCAATGTTGTGATATTGGTTGCATACTTGCAATGATGACGTCGGGTATGATAATTAATTAACACACTGTATATGGATAGGGTGGATCAATGCTTTAATAGGTTGAGTTGAATTTTTCTAAAAGAATAAAAGAATTAAAGTCATATAAAAACTATTATATTTGTGCACATATCTAACAATAATTTAAAATAATAAAATATCTTACTCTATAAATATAATATATAGTTTTAAAACTGTCTTACTTATTTGGCACAAAGACAAACATCTGGATAGTAATATTTATTTAATATATTAATAGTTATTATTACATATCTCCGCGAATCGCGTTGTTCCTTTCTACGATAACGATACGTTTAAAAAAATACACAGTATACGATAATAAAATTCTATAAAACAGAATTTTCTTATTTAAGTGAGTTAAAACAACAGCCATAAATATAGCACAATGGAAATCGTTATTGAAGTGATTAAAGCTTAACAGTTCTTTAAATATCATTCGAACCGTCCGACCACAGTTTTTACCCAACCTTTCGATTGCGATCGTCTCGCGTTTCCATTCAAAAACGATTCCGTCGTCGCCGTCGATTCTAAAAAGTTACTTTTTATGGTATTTGTACTCTTCAACGTACTTTGATTTGTTAGCTCCGTATTGGTCGTAAATTTCAAAGGTTTTGCTGGAATAGGTGGAGGAGCTTTCGTTGGTCGTTGTAAAGATTTTCTCTCAAATAACGGACTATTATTCGTCGAACTACATCGTACGATATTTTTCTTTAAAAATTCCGGTCTAGAAGCACCCGAAACCCTAAAACTGTCACACCTCTCAACATTATCATCATTCAAATTCTTCTCCAATATACTTTCGTAGTAACTATCGTCGCTATTTTGACTAGAATTTAGAATTTCAGAACTTGATCGCGTCACCGTATTACTGTTGTGGGATAAAATCGTCGATATCTCGGTTATACTTTGACTAGAAACGGCAGTTACCGTACAACTAAAACGGCTACATTCATTTTCACGTAGTCGTCTATCAAATTCCGTAAGTACTTCGTGCTCGTTTATCGTCATATCCAATTCTTCGGGTGCTTCAAAATCGATATCTTCACTTTCCGTTTTACTCGATGCAATACTTATCGTCGATTGATTGAGAGAATTCATACTGGCGAATATTTTTTGCGGATCCTCGTAATCCGGATTTGCTATTCTCGCTCCTATCGCTGCCTTTGATGCTTGTTTTGAACTCGATCTTCGATGTCGTTCTTTTATAGCGTGATATTTTTGTATTAAACTAAGTCTTATTGTCGATTTCCTGTATATTTTGTGTTCAGGGTGATCGTTATTGTCTAATTGTGTTGATATGGATCTGGAATAAGAAATTGAAAAATGTATTAGAAATCAAAAAAATAACAAAAAGGATAATATTCTTGTTTTAAAAATAATTATATCACACCAAAAAGTGTAAAACGGGAATTAAGGAATTGGAAGTAATGACTTTCTCCTGAGTATCTTCTTAATCTTGGATAGTACTGGGGATGCTCAGAAGCATACGTACTAAATAGTTTGATAGAATTGGAAATTTTATTAAGACTGTAAGATACTGGGAACAACTGGGATGAATGAAAAGTGTTGGAAGCAATTAAAAGCTATTGTAGTATTCTGTAGAAAAAGCTCTAATACTATAGACGTAGTTTATGATTTAAACACATAATATTGTGCATTATATGAAGTTGTTACATATTTGTTAACACATGATTCTAATGAATTTGTTATAAAACATTCAAAAATCTGCTTGTTAAATGTTATTAATGCCTAAATGATTCCACAAACTTTGTACTTACCACTCAAATCAAATTTATAGGAAAGATTGTGGTTTCTCTAGGTAAATTTGTGATCCTGAATTACAGGTGCAAAACTGAAAGTTAATTCTTTGATGTTCAAAAGAATGCTTCATATAAACATAATCCTAAATCATCTATGAAAAAGTTATCTTTAACTTTTTTTTTCAGAACAGTTTCGATTATTAATCACAATTGATATTTCTCCTGTCAAAATGACATTTAATTGTCAAATATGACATTTAACTTGTCAGTTAATTATCCATATTTTTAGAATTTTTTACATTTTAAGTAAAATTTACTGTATATGTATACATATAAATAAAATGATTATTATGTTTATATGAACTTTTGCTCTAGAAATTAGCATAGTTTTTGCCTATAAATCAGGATCATTTTATAAATTAATCTATTTTTCTTCTTTATAAAATATTCTTGATAAATTCATCAACTTTTATTTAAACAAATAAAATCAATATCACAATAGATTCATTTAAACATGATCTACGTCAAATTAAATAATAAATTATATAATAATCACAAGCTTGAATTGAGATTATAACAAATATGTTTAAAAAATAATTAATCTCAGTCTTTATTCGTCTCAGTAACATTCACAAACATTAAAATAAACTAAAAATTTACCTAAATTTTAAAATTAAAATTAAAGCAACATCACTTACGCTTCTGGTTCTAAAATAACGTCCGTATTCTTAATACATCGTCCTGATACGTTTCCAGGTCCATCGATTTGGTCGTTTAATTGAAAAGATCTGGGTAATGAATCAGCCTTACTTGTTACAGGATCTTTATCCTGTTTCAAACATATATTCGGATCAGTCTCGCTTTCTCTTAGCACTCTTTTTTTCCTATTCATCACCTTATTAAATTCTTCGTGTTCCATAATAATACCCGTTACTAAATTTTCGATGCTCTCGTTCCCTTCTTGTTGTGTATTCGTCGTGTTTATAGACGTTTGTGAATAATCCGAACCGTCTTCGGCGATTTCGAGGTGAACGTCGTTGATTTCGCAGGTTTCCGAATCTGAGAGATCGGTGTAAAACGTCGAAGTACTCTCTTTGGCTTTTTTCAATTTGGAAATTCGCGAAGGGACCGTTTTATTATCGTACTGTTGCACTACATTCGGTTCGGATTTTCTACGCCAATTTCCCAAAGATGGGAAGGAACGATCGTGAGATGCTGCTCTTCTTGATGAGAGATCACGAGATTGACGTACTCGACTACGTCTTTCTAAATAATGAGGGGTTGAATACTGTTTTTTTAATGGGGTCCACATCTCTGGAGTTTCTTCTAAACATTAAAAAAAAAATTTGTATTAAAAAAAGATGATTAAATTAAATTATTTACCTTTTTCTGGTAAATCTTGTCCAAGTTGCATCAGCAATTGTTGAGCGTGATTAGGAATCGCCGCGTTATAATTTTCTATAATAACTCTTTTTAATTGTCCCGTCCATTCTCGTTTGTGTTGCAATGATTTCGCTCTTAGCGTTACTTGTAATCGTGGATTATCAAAAGGCAATACATGGAAGCTCAATGGTTCTCCTCTTACTTGTTCAACCAACATTAAATTTGAACACTAAATTCAAAATTATCAATATTTATTTAAAAACGGAAATATATTCGAGATCTTACCATTATATGTGATTTATAAGTAAAATTTCCGTCTTGTTTACATTTAGTCATTAATAATAATTTATCAAACAAAAAAACGTGTCTCCTTCCTTTCACACCTCCGACCCTAAACGTTCCCTCTGCGATTAATTCTCCTAAAGTTGTAAGATCAGGCCCGCTCCATCCATACAATTGGGATTGAATTTCTTGGATCCTAATAGCAATTTCATGTTTTCTTTTCATGTTATTGATGTGAGCTGCCACACCGGTCATTGTTGTTAACGCTAAATCTACAACGGGTTTGTGGTCTGACTCACATCGTTCTGATAACCTCTGTAATAAAAGAAACATTTATTTTTAAGTTTTAAACTTTATTTGTTTTTATTACCTCTAAAAGCATTCGATATCTTAATATCCTTTGAACAGGCTTCAGTAAATATGATCCTAGAGGTAAATCGTGGTGCTTTTCCATTTGTACTTCTTTAAAGTACTTCGCCGATTCATCGTTTCCCATTAATTCGGTTAAAACTGATATGGTTTTTGGATAATCGGTGCAATAATCCGTGTAAATTGAAAAACCTGTGTTGTTTATGAATACTTTAGCGGTGGCTGAAGGGTCCAGTTTAGCTTCTCTAAGTTGCTCCAAAAAAGAACTATTAAATTCGTAAATATCCTCCAAGTTGCTGAAGAGTTTTGGGATGTAATCGTGTAAATAACAATCTGGGTTGGATTTCCATGGTTGTAAATAATCCTGAAAAAGATAAAAGTAGTTTGTTTAATTCAACGATTTATTTGTTTTATAAGTAGTAATTTTCCAGTTTATCAAGGACGATGTTTGCGTATGATTGTTATCAATAACGAGAATTTTATTACCAATTCTAAAATAACGGTTGACTAATTGTTATTTTTTTTCTTACAAATTGAAAAGGAATGTTGAAATAGTTTTTGGTGAAACACAAAGATTTCAAGAACGTTACAAAATATGTCATTAAAATGTGAAATCATAGCATTATTAGTAAATGTTAAAATTTTACTTTTTTATATAATTTCACTTACGTGCTAATAATTTTAAACTGTTTAGAAATTAGTTTTCATAAAATAGACGCAAGAGGTTATTTAATACTTAAGATTCTTTTTTATTTAAAAGAAAGCTGACTCATTCTATAATAAATTCAATATTTACTCTACTAAACACCACATTGATCCGATATGTAATTGAATTTAGCCTCTGATAGATTTTATGATTGATAGCAACTAAAAAAAGCTATTAATTAATATATCGTGGTTAACACTTTTTGTTCGTCTCTCAATTTAATAACACACGTACACGCGCGGGAAATGAAATTTATTCCGGGCTCGTTCCCTGCCATATACGTTGACCGTGTAATTAAAAAATTACTGGACCACGAGGTTGTGGCCCGGAGAATGTTATGTAACCGTCGACGAGGCGTTCGGCTGTTGGTGTGTAATTACCTATTTATTAACAAGAAGTAATAGACGACCGCTATAGCAATGATTTATCGAGACTTGGTGGCATGATTAAGCGAATATTTGCCAATAAAAGAAGTAAGTGTTCGATATAGAGAGTTTACAAGTTCACTAAACTTCCTCATAATCCATCTTATTTCGCTCATGTTGCTAATTTTATATAACATATAGATTATTTCTGTTTTTATAAACAAGCCAAGTATTCATAACATAATTTTTTTACTTACTAAACAATTATACAGGGTGATTCAAAAAACCGCTGACAGACTTCTAGAGTAGATAATACATGAAAAATTAAGATGAATAGTCTTAATATACATGGCGAGATATAGTGGATCAAAGTTTCTTTAAAATTAAACATTATCTGCAATAAAAAGCACTTTTTTAAAAATATTGTCTACGGCATTGCTCTCTACGCGTGTAAAGTGATCAATTATCTATCAATTGGTCTCTTACAAAACTTTGATCAAAGCAATAGTTTTTAAGAAAAACACGTTTGTAGAAAATTTGTTAATTCAATCAAAAACTGTTCCTTTAATCAAAGTTTTGTAAGAGACCAATTGATAGATAATTGATCACATTACACGAAAATACTGCACGTTTGACACACTTAGCAGTGGGGTTGAAAATATTTAACTAACTTCGGTAGTGGCATAAGTAGTGCTACTTCCTATTTCCAAAGTGTTGAGTACATCACTATGTAATTGGATATTAGTACACTTTATGACAATGATGTTACAAGAGAAAAACAGCCATTCAGTCACAAGAAGCAATACCGTTTCAGTTTTCGTTGTAAATTCATTGATACCAATAAGCCCAATCATTCATGTGAGTAAGAACAAGCCTATTTTAAAACTATCTCAATTTTTACGGAAAAAAGGTTAATTAAGCATTTACAAACAAGCAATTATTAGGTATTTATCCTGACCAAAAAATGTTTCGTATTTCTTAAGAATTTAATATTTTTGTGTTTATTTACTTAACCATTTCGTTAAATTTACACAAAACGACAAAGTTAACATTTTATACGACATAATGAAGTTGATGTTTATCTTAGATTTTTCAAAGAATCGTTTTTTGCCATTCACAAATAAGTTCTGAATAATATTTATATTTATGCGAAATATTTTAAACTTCGTCATAAAAACAACTTTAAAAGGAATTTTGACCTTTATGAATTAAATATTGTTATGGACCCATAAAATTGCTAATAACCGCTCGATTTTAATAGAAATTATTATTACTGACCTACAACCATTTCTTGATTAACGATTTTAATTTATTTCATGAGAACCGTAAAACAAACCCGTTCGTTTTAGGAAGTCGTATATAACAAGTATAATAACAAAGGCCGTGATTAACCGTTTTAAATTCAATGGGGACGGCTTTTATCAAATTCGTTGTCACGGTCGCGTTGTGAAATTTGAGTTGGAATATGGTATGGGTGTCGTTAGGTTGCTCGTGTTTTGTAACACAATCGGTGCTAAAATCAACTCGTGAGATTGTTCCTAGTAGAAATAAATACATAACTCGCCATAGCAGTTATATCTTTACGAGTAAAATTTTTTTATTGTTTCGTTTTTTACACCATATTCGTTTCGTCAAACGATGCGACAAAACAAACGGTGGGTGTTTCAAAAATCGAAAACGCAACATGCATAGTAAATTATTTTGTTAAAAAAAGTTTTTAACCTTGCGGTTGATCACCTTTTCTATGAGTCATTCTATGAATTTGACTCGTTTAAAAATTTAAGGTCAAAGAAATCAGATTCCAATCCAATCGTTCTAACAACTTCATCATATCACACCAGTCAATCATAATTAAAATTGATAGTTGTAACTTGTTCAATCAAAGAAAGAAAATACACCAGAAAATTACTCATCATTTTGATTAAGACTCATCGCGTCAGCAAGACAAATAATAAACTCCACACTTCCTGTACGAGACGTTAGCGCGTTGCTCGTCGCTGTTGCGAATGTCACACTTCAATCTTTTAATGGCAAATACCAGAGGCATGCCACCGCGATGACTGGACAAAGATGACCGACCAAGTTCAAGGATAAAAGTCCAAAGGGCTCGACCGGCCATCACTTCTTTTGTGGCTGACGATGGTTTTCTTTGGTTGTGTAGTATGCTTTCTTCGTCTTCGTCGTCAACTTCCGGATACCGTCGGTTTGTGATTTGCGGTCTGCATCGTTTCGGAATGATGATTGAATATCCGGGGACCGTGATATCACGATCCAGAGGACGTGTGTTGAATCGAAATTTTTAACTGCTATTTTCTCGTTACTAACTGAGTAGTCGGGTTCATTGGTGACATTGTTTGGTGTGCAGACATCGGAATCGGATGTCTGGCGTCTCGTTGACCGAACAAGATTACTAGGAAATTTATTCTTTGGTTTGTAGATTAATGTACAAAAGAAAAATCTTTAAAAACATATTTAATAAATTAATTTGTTTTTATTTGAAAGTTTTAGAATTTTTTTTTTAAATAATCATATGATTTGTAATGAAGCAAACATTCATGAAATGATTTAATTGATACTCGGAGCACATGTTCGTGTCAAGTCGAGGGAAATTAGGCACAGTCATCGAGAGTGCCGCCAGCTATGGTCTTGTCTCGTCAACTGTGAAAGAGTAGTGGAACGAGCTGGTGACAAGCCGTTAACCACGGAAGTCCTACTTGACCTGCTTCAACGATTCATCAGTCCATCAGTCCAGCCTCTTGTCGGCTCCATTGAACAAACCGAAATTACAATAAGTTAAAGAGGAAAGATGTTCGAACCAGATGTCGCCCCTTTTAGATTTTAGACTTTAGACGACGACGCGACGGTTCATTTAAGCTTAACCAAACGAGAATTCCACCCAATTTCTTGACCGACTCCTTGACATGAACTAATAGATGTCACTCTGCTTAATAACTTCTTTTAGAAAGTCTTCTTAAATACTTTTTAATAAGAGGATTTAAAATACGGCACTTTAAATCACGTTATTTTATAATCCAAGTAATTCACCTCACCATTACGACGGTGAGTGAGGTTTTACGTTAACGTGTTACATATTTATGGATTACGGGTTTAACGTTTCGCAGAACAAGAAAACTGCATGTCGTGATGCCGGGAGAATTTATAGCGCGTGTAACAGTTATACACAAGGCGAACGTCTCGAAGAAGTTGTGAAGTAATCATTTTCCGGGCGGCGGCAGCGGATTGTCGTGTTGCCGTCTCGAGAGTTTGGTTTTTCCTTTTTCGACACTAATTGTCACGAAAGAGGTGTCTTATTGGCTCACGGGCAGTCAATTATGTAAATGTTTTCTCTTTTACTTTCTAATAACTGATTTGCGTGTCTATACACACATTATAAATCTTTGTAGATAATCAACGATTATGATTACATGTTAATTTATAATTAATAAAGTATAAAATGTTTGATTAACTAAAGAATGCCATCTTTATCTTTATCTCTTTTCTTAAAATTCTGTTGGTTAGGCAACCATTAAAAGCTTATGTATCTGAACTCAGTATGTTTTTTCTAGACAAATAAATCGGTCAGTGAAGAAATTTAACAGTAGTAGTAGCGATTCCCACGTTAAAATACCTAATCTGTCTACAAATGCGAGTCTCACACGTATATCAACCACAAACTAGTTCTCTGAGTATCCTGGCAAGTATCAACAACAAACAAAAAGTTGCAATACTATTTTTCGCAAAAACATGTTTTCCTTACAAGTTTGTGTTAAGTGTGAGTAAGTAATGTGTAAGTAATCACTCTCTCTGCCTGTATCCTCCACACATGTCCCAGCCACCTCAATCTCTAGGGTTTAATCCACGTTGATAATTCTGCTCCTTCCTGCAATTGCCTTATTTCGTGCAAATTAACAATATATAGGGAAACAATAACTTTTGCAATGATGAAAGGGGTAGTTTTTTAAGATCAACTAATTAAGGTTGTAGCACAATGATTAAAAAGTAAGGATTAAAGAGGTATCTTAAGCGAGAAAATTGTACGGCACATATAGAAAACAGTTAATTGGTAACAGAATAATGCAAAAGCTACCAAGCATAGCCCAATGATGATATACACTGCCACTAAAAACCTAAGGAATAAATCTAAGCAGTAAATCTGTAGAGAAAAGGTATAAAGGTAGGAGGAGCAAGTTCAGATAAGGAAAAATTAAATAGTGCACAAAGAAGAGTCTTGATACGACTAATGAGAGCTTACAGATCAGCATAAACTTAAGAGAACGCCGTTGTGATAGAGACACTATCAATAGATTTGGAGATAGGTAAATGAGTGACGAATTACTACTTTAGGCGAAGGAACGAAGACAAGTATCACTGATTTGATAAATGGCAAATATGTTGGTACCTTGTAGAAAGAAGCAGAAGAGTCTAAAATCGGAGCGTTTGCATGGAGAGCAACATTTGCATGGAAGACAAAATTCAATGATTTTAACAAAGAAATTGATTTCACTACAGCTCCGAATAAGTTTAGTTTTTATTAAAGGTTCTGCGTCACTTGTTGTGAATCATCACTACTTATTTATTCAAACTAGATTAAAAAAAAAACGGAATAAATAAAAAAGATTAAGATGGAAAATTCCAACGTAAGAACTTAATAAATCACTTTTAATTAACCTAATAAATAAAATTATCATTTTCAAATCTTAATTCGCCGCAGTTCAATTAGCATTACCTCGTTACACTTGAAAGATTTTAAAATAACTAAAGAGGCAAAGTGAAATTCACCGAGAATCTTTCACTCCGCATTCGCCCCATTATTCCCGACCAAAACGCGATGATTGAATCCGATTTGAATGCCGGCATTGTAAGCTCCCTCGCGTAATTAAAAATTACCATAAGCGGAGAAGTTGTAAAAGTGGGCCGCATTCTCTCTTTAAGCTTATCGCTACACGCAGGTTTTTTATGTTTTTTTCCTTAACACCTCTTTTCAGACTCGAGTTGCATTACCGTGTACTGCAGTAAAAACTTTATCAAATTTAGAGGCATGAAGTGTTACGTAAGATTCTTATCGAGAGCAACCGTAAAATTAAAAAAAGTCTTTATTACCCAGGAGTGGTGAGTCATGGTCAAGTGACTCCGCTGTAAACCAAATTATACTGGTTACGATATAAGGAGAGGTTCATACTAAATAATGATAATATGATGTTGAATTTAAATTAGTTGCATAAAAGAATTTGTTTTAAAGAAATTATTTTAAGTAATTCCGAATAGGTCAGAATTGAACGCTCCCTATTTCAGGTTATAGACTTGTTTATGCCGACATATCGTGTTCGGGGCACGACTCGACTGGTTATTAAAAACATGCGGGATCGAGAAGAAAAGGTCTCCTTAATTGACAGAAAACGTGAGAGCGAATCGAGCGAGACGATGGCAATTTTCGCCACCCGCGGTTAAATGGTGTCATATTGACGAACTCGTATGTATAAAACTGCGGTATACCAATAATTTCTTTGAAAATCGTTGTAAAATCGTTTGCGTTTCACCAGATATTTTCACACGTTTTCACAACGTTTATTGTGTTATAAACTATATAAAATGCGGGTTGCAGGTAAGCTGTGATTTACGATACTTTAATAGATGTTTGTGGATATTTATGTGATGAGCTATTAATATATTTAAGAAAGTCTTCGCACATTTACCTAATGACAATTATAATTTTAAATTGCAAATTTGTTTAGGTAGACTCAAAGTTATTCGAGAACATTAATAATACAGCAAAACTTCGATATAACGGACTTTGTTAGAACGAACTTCGGATATAATGAACAAGATGCTTGTAGAATAGTTTGCACGCTTGTTTTAGGGTTAGTGTGACTTTCTGTGGGGGTAGAGAAAGCGCTCCTCCTCGTGGATGGTGATATATGGCTTCCACTACTCCTATAGGGCAAGGGAAATCACTAACTAAATAGCACTCCATCGGCCCGGTCCAAGCTGTTTACAGCACATGTTATACCATGTGCTGGAGTCCAGCACAGGCGATCTTGGCTTAACTGCCTGGATCGAGAACTGCCTGGCAACCTCATTAAAAGCTTAAAGTCAAGGTGGAACAGCTTATGCCGAAGACTTCTATCGCTTTATAGTATTGGCCAATACTTGGTTCCTAATAAACGGACTTTGCATATCTGGAGACCTCCAGTTTCAACGAAATCGCCTTACTGCTACATGATGGACCTTGTTTCCCTATTTATACTCGTGGTGCCTATATAAAACACAGTAACGAAATTGAAAAAGAGGTTGATGCAACTCTGAGCGCATCAGGGCAGAAATCGCCTTCAACAAAAGGACATTACAATGTCGTCCGCTTCTTCCGCAGCAAGCAGTATTTGTACAACAGACACCATAATGCTACAGGAGAGCATTGAAAAATTCCAACTAAAAGAGAAGTAGCATGAAAAAGTCTTAAGTGACTGCTCAAACAAGGGCTTACTCCTGAGGAAGCCCGAGCAAAGGCCGACTGAAAGATGTAGTATTCCCAGCGGAGGCATTCTTCTGCAGGAACAAAAGCCTACAACTCCCAGGTTGTAGGTAAACCTCACCACAGCCCAAAGGCAGGCTATTTCTCGTAGATTAAGCTTAAATTCCTCGGAACCACCTTTAAAGCAGGTTGGCTGCTGTTCAACTGCTCAAACCAAGAGGCAACAAATTAGCTAAAGGCAGTGACACCAACCGAGCAATCATGGGAAGGGACATCCCTAATGGCTATGAATGAGAAGGAGTTACCGAAAGCGACTAGAAATACTGGAGTTCAGCCGTATGTCTCTTATGACGGCTAAACCCAAATGTTTCTAGTTCTAGGTTTAGTGTCAGTTCTTCTAGACCTAGAACTGGAAACATTCGAGTTTAGCCATACGTTTCTTAAGACGGCTAAATCCCAATGTTTCTAGTTCTAGGTTTAGTGTTAGATCTGGTTTTAGTTCAATGAAAGTATACAACAATCTAACGCTGATTAACAACTAAAACTAGAACTAACATTAAACCTAGAACTGATTTAGCACGGCTTATACGGAGACTCATATTAGTCCGTTATACCGAGGTTTTACTGTCATAAGAGAAATCATAAAGTGAAGTTATAACAAATAAAAATTTTAATGTTTGAATTTATGGAGAAACCGATACATCAACTCTTGTTAAAAATAAAAATCCAAGCTGGTTAATTTAAAATACAGTAGCCTGTGGCTACCGTTGAATGATCGTCCACTTAGCCTAAACAACAATCTATCAAACGGAATCTCATTTTATTTTTAACCCGTCAGCTGTTCGAACAAAACATTTCACGAACGTGCCCGGTCAGCTAACCATGGAACGACGTGAAGTCGGTCTTGTTATTTTTTTCATCCAATCCACATTTTATTTTCGTTTACTAGAGAGATTCTTCGTTCTCGTGCGCTCTTTTGATGCCGCAAGGAACGCGGTCGACGTTTCGTCGTCGTCTTCAGAGTACAATGACGACGGTGAACCACCATTCTCCACTTACCTGTATGACTTTGTGCAGATCCTCGACGTACTTGGTTTCGGTATCTATGATCTCAGCTACGACGTCGTGCTCTTTCCTATTGAAGTTTGTAGACGGATCTTCAGCTATACCGCTGTCTGCCGATCCTAAAATAAGAAAAAGAACAAAAATTAACCATCGTGAACCAACATGATGTGTCTAAAGACAAGAAAGAATCTTGATATTTCAAACATGGAATTATTTTATCATGAATTTTTTTAAATCCAAAAATTTTTATATTAGACTTGAACCTTGACAAAGTCGAAATAACTTCCTTTATAGAATTTTTACGGTCACACGGTTATAAATATTTTACGTCATTCCCATTCAATTGCATTATTGCAGGATGGTGATTAAATTCCGAATGACGATCGAACATTCCAAACTTGACAAAGGATCATTTCGAAAGCGCCGCGTTTCTAAAGACGATAAAAATTCTTTTAAAGATACATCGAAAACCTTGAACGCTGTTAATAATCAAAGAACAACCATAAGGCGTTTAAAATTGAACGTGTAAAGTGCATAAAAATGTATCGTTTGGTTGGAGTGTATGAGTAACGGGGCCAATGATGCTACTAAAACTGGACGGTTCTAAGAAACTTCTGAAGACCAACGGTCGAGTTTTCTTCTTGTTTGCGAGTAATAAAACTTTATAACCCTGCACAGTACGGTGCTTTTGTATGTACGAGGAAGAATATTCTGGGTTGTGTTAAGTACGTGCTTCAACAAAAGCATTGGTAATAAATATCAACAAAAGTATAACCCCCTTAGGAGAAAAGTGGGTGGGATGTTTGTTTACCTTGAATTCCGGATGGTTCCGGGTCACTGTCCAAACTTTCTGCGGAAGCTTGATAAACAGAACCTGGAAGATGGGGTCCACTACTTCCACTTGAAGAGCAGGATCCTAAACTTGTTAAAGAAACAGGCCTGGATACTTCCGATGATGTTGTACTATTTGTTCCGACACTACTTTCACTGGGAACCTACAACAAAAATAAAACATATTTAATACAAAAATATTAAATTTCATTTTTTTTTCTATGGTTTCAAACAATAAAGAAATCCTTCCCGGCGGTTTAAAGATGATCACTTTTCGATCGTTTTTTCTTCTCGTGTTAATGATATGTAGGGTTGCAACAAAGTCTTAATAATACCAGTTTGAGACGATTACTCAGATTTCTCGTTCGGCCTGAAATTCTAAGCCTTTGCTGCTTAATGATATGGGATCTTCCCAGAAATATCTCGTGACAGAAGCGTTCACGGAGAAAAGGAAGAAATGAAAGTCCTGCTGTGTAGTAGAAGTAATCTCGATAATGAAAAGTTAACGACTTCTTCTGGAATTCTTTGCTTCGGGATTAAAAAGATAGTACCTTTTTATTTTCGTCTCGTTAATTCCGAAGGATTTTGGTTAATTTAAAATTAACTATATGGTTTAATATTGAAAGAATAAAAAAAAAGTTTGAGAACCGGATACAACATATTTTGAAGAAAGTGTCATAAATGATTTTTTAATTTCCATTAAAATCATTGTTATGGATTTTTAAATTCCTTGGCACATTTAGTAGTTGTACACTTAAAAAATCGTACCTCAAGAACAAATTGAGATATAACACTGCATGTTTAACTCTTATAGACATCAAATATAAATTTTAGAAAATCGTATCTCGAGAACGGATTGAGATATAATGATAAAATAAGGAACATTTTAAAGCAAATTTGATGAAGATTTAATGTGCCAAAAATAATTTCTTATTTTCCAAAAACATCGTTGTTATGTCTTTTACCTCAACTCTGCATGTTTGGTTATGATAGATGTGAAACATAAATTTTAAAAAATCATATCTCAAGAACGGATTGAGATATAATGATGAAACAAAGAACATTTTAAAGCAAATTTGATGAAGATTTAATGTGCCAAAAATAATTTCTTATTTTCCAAAAACATCGTTGTTATAATTTTTTAAACTCAACTCTATATCCTCAAAAAAACACATCCTCGAAGAAAGAAATTGAAAATGTTCGCTAAATCATTATTTTAAACTTGATAAAGATTTATTCTGTTGAAATTGAATTTAATTTGAATTGAACGTGCGTAATCTCAAATAAATAACGAAACTTGGAAATTCCCGGATATAGTTTAATCATTTGGAGCAATTTCGTGATTTTTTCTAGAAAACCATCGGTTTAAACTTTATTTACGATTACTCATTATTTAAATAATTTTATTTTGTAATTATACTTCATCATTGCTTGGTAAGTTTAATTAAAATTATTAACTTTATAATGTACTCAGTCAGAAAATGTAGTCCTCATTTTTTAATTTTAATCGTTTTAAGCCTGTTTCAATTAAAACTTATAGAAAGCGTGACAATGATATTTATTATTTAATTAAACTATTAATAAAATTAAGATTGCACTCATAAACTAATATTTTCAATTAATAAATTAATATAACTATCAACAAAATTATTTATTCGACTTCTCTTATTATAAGTAATTGAGAAAAAACGAATTAAACTTTAAAAATGTTGATTACACCAGATTTTGTTTCAAAAATGTAATTAAACAAAAAACATTATTAATTTTTTTTAAACAAAGAAAGTTACTTTCTACCCATCAATGATCGCTGTTAATGTAAAGAGAAGAGTATTTCGCTTTGCATTTCCCTTACAATGAGCGTCGCTTTGATCTCGTCAAAGAAAAGTGGTTCATCATAATTTCGAACCCAATTACTATCAGAATGATTAATTTATCGTTATTTTTTTAGGTGGACGTGCGGTGCCTGTAATTTCACTTTTATCGATTTGGTAATTGCAACGGTGAAATTAATGTCAATTAACTCGAAAGTAAAAGATAAAAGAAAGGCGAGCCCTTTATATACGGTCGTCGATCCGGTCGGCTTGCAAAAATGGTCGAGTAATTGGAGAATTTGCATTTAAGATTACCGGTATTATTGACGTGATAAAGCGCCGGTTACAATCGTTAAAGCAAATTTACAATCGAAACTAAACTATCTTTAAGAATATAATGAATAAATCATAATCAAATTTTTAACTAAATAAGTTCTTTATTATGAATAGTTATTTAAGGATACCACAACTCACTGTGTGATTATCCCTCGGCGCCAGTATTATTGAACGATACCGACCCTTTGTGTTTATGACCACGTCCTTTATTGGTCCGATGGTTGTTAAGCCCTTCCTGTGTTTAAACTTTACGACCGTACATACCGTGTGTTGTGAGCAGACGTAGTTTGGGGGGGCATTGATTTTCTCTTATATTCTCTATTTCTGTGTATTGTGTAGCTGAACCACAAAAAAAAAGAAAGAATCAATCAACTGGAACTATTTTCCATGTAGTTTTAACATATAATTCGAAGTAGGTACAGCGAACAGTTACACGATTTAATTAGCAATCGCGTTAGTATTTTATGAAAATTTATGTGTGAACAAAATAACAGTAATTGAGATTTAATATTTTTTAAACATCCAACGTGTACGTAACAAATTGATTTCTTAAATGAAGTATAATCAACTTAATCAACATAACAATCTGTTAATTAACATATTAAATTAACCGTAACGTTACAGTTAAAATAGTCGAATTTACAAATAAATCGATTAGAAATGAAAATCGTGTTGAGATTAATAGATAGAGATGAAGATAAATAACATACCAATACATTTACATACCTTCCTAGAATTTATTGTGTTGCATTCTTGTACAACTCTCATGCAGTAGCGAACAATTACAAGACCTTGTTTTACCTCACAAGGTATCGAAGTAACAATTAGCGACGTAAAGTTGGTCCATATACTGCAATGAACCGAGAAGGCAGGTTCAAGCTAATGAATCTGCTAAAGTTTACGACGAACGACGATCGACGTCGGGAGAATTTCACGTTCGGAGTGTAATTAAAAGAGCGTCGCAAGCGAGCAATTAACATCTGCCAATTTACCGGCTAAAGAGGCCGAGACTCATTAAAAAATCGCTCGTTAGCTTGTTCGGAAATTGATTATGTAAATTTCGAATAATTACCTTACTGGTACGTTTCTTTTTTATATGCTTAATCGATTTAAACGCGCAGAAGTAAATATGAAATATCAGTTATTGAATATAATACAAAAATTATTGTGAATATGATTGACTCAATAAAATAAATAGTAATGAGATTTTAGAGAAAAATTGCGAATTAAATAGAATATTCAATGAAGTTGCTATTTTTATTGCTACGTTATGAAATAGAACGTAACTTACATTCATAAAACTTAATTTATGATTTTGTTTTCTGCATTGGTAAATGTATTATTTGGTCGGCTTTTATTTATAAAAAAAATATTAATGGCAGGGTTGGGTTGGGTTAGGCAAATTTTAAACTTCAAACATAAGTTGGCTGAATCCTTGCTAAACTCTAAAGATGACCTAGAAAGTGAAGATCAAGTAACTAAACTAAAGATAGTTCATTCAAAAAACTCCACGATCAACACCAACTTTGTCATTTGTAAATACCCAAACTGCAAGAAGAAAGCAAAGTTGATATGATGAAAAACATGTGTTGACACATGTTTACTTTTATGACGCATGTTTGTTCAAAAAATAAGATAGGAAACTTATAAACCTCAAGGGAAATGAATTTACCTTGTTTTTCAACTTCGCTGCAATAAAAGTCATGGGGAAAACCCCACTGCAAAGTAAGAATCAAGAGAAAAGAACGACTATCACCCATTGGTAGGGGAGAAACTCATGAATCAGTTTACTCATTTCTTAGCCTCTCGTGGTTTTAACATAGCCTCAGATAACTCAAGATTGTAAAAGTTGTGTTTTGCATGCAAACTTTATATTTTAGTATTTGGCTGATGAAATTGGCTTGACTTGTGTTTTATTAGACAAGTATCAGTTGTAACTGTTCAAAACTGAAATATTTTGACAATGTTATTGTGAAGGACTACATGTAGACTTTTAACGAACCTAACAGTTTCCTGAGTACTAATACCATCAATAGCTCAATATTTAAGCAAGAACTGCGCATATTAAGAGGAGGACGTAAACAACACAGTATGATGCTTTCATAATTACCACTTTACTTATAATTTTTATCATATTTACTTCATGTTCATTTTATTTAACCGCACGCAACTCAATCCTAATCTTTGCGTTTTTGTTTTCTAAAAACTTCAAATAATTAAATATATTTATAACGACCTAGATACACCATGTAGGTACATTTATAAAATGTTAAGCAAAGAAGTAGTTTTACCGTTTATTTTTTTTTTACATCGAAGATAAAAACCTTATTTGCTTGAAGCAATCACGTTACATATTTTTATAACAAAGCAGAAGGCCCGTGTATATTCAAGTACCCAATATCTTGCGAGATTAATCGATCGAAAGTGAAGTAACGGTAATTTTTTCACTATCTTAAGATACCGCCAAGCAGCGCGAGTTCCGTTGATGTTACATAACAGCGGTCAGTACGGGTCGTATAATATTGCAAGAACGCGCCACAATGGGTAATGCAATACAACGGTTGTTTCCTTTGTGTGATATTGTAGGAGATTAAAATGTTTTATGCTTTTAAGTGGAATTTTTAATATTGCTACATAACAACAAACCATAACTTTTCTTGTTTTTTTGTTTTTAATTATAAATTTATGTACAACTCACCTGTAAGTATTTCCCCATGTTTTTTCTCCCAACTGGAGTTCTTGAAGCAATACCGGAAGGGGATGTATGTTTGTAGTTTCCAAGCGGTTTCGACGGCAGAGTTGAAAATCCTTCGCCAATATCACTTTTTAGTCCTGTAATTGTATCCTCGTCGTAACCATTCCGATTTTTCCCCTCGTTACCGCCTTCAACACATTTTTTCGTCGCGTTTTCACCGTTAATCTTCTCTACACTGCACTGTCTTAAATCGTGGCACGCACCGTTTTCAACCACTTCGTTCGTCCTATCCTCGCACTTCGCGGCGTGCAGAAATGAATTGTTTCTTTGCACCTTCTTTTCAGCGGCTGGTATCACCAGATCTGCATCCGGAAGATTTGACAACATTTTCTGCACCGACGGAATGATTTCCAAGTTCTCGTTACTTTTATATACTACTTTGTCTGATAAGAATCTCTTCGAACCGTATCTTGGAGTGTTTCTTTTAAGTTGTGTATCTTCTGAAGGATTTACAGTTTCTTGGTCTACGTTCGAGAGGATTTTTTGCACGTTAAACGAGAGGGCAAAGTTGTTACTTTTTTGTATACGTCTTGGTGAGGCTAAAGGTTTCCTATCTTCCTGAGTTGACTGATGGTCTTCGTCGGGTTTACTCTTGTCTAATATGCGATCAAGAGCACTGAGGATACCGGGCATCAACTCAGTGGATGGACCTACAATAAAAAATATTAAATTAGTGCTCATCGTTTATAGGTATTTCTAAAAGTAGTCAAGTAATTATGACTATTATTGGAAAGTTATGCGATTATTAAGTATTACAAAAAAATATGAGTCATAACTTAACTATTTAGAATATATTGGCAATTTTATTATTACTATTATTTTATTCTTTAGTACGTGATTGGAGTTTCAATAAAAAATAATTGTGGAAAAATGATTGCAAGCAGAGCGTTTATGAGAGACTACGGACATTGTAATTATTCAATTCTGGCAGTTAAGGTCAGTGCTTTGAAAAGTGCCGTTTCAAGTGAATCAGGAAGTGTACAACCGTGAGCAATTGAAAGATACTTATAATGTCTAGAAATAGATTCTGTTAAATCTAAATATTCTTGGTTAAACGACTTATAATGATATTTTAGCTCAGGAATTTATTAAAATAACTATTGACAAAGAACTTTTAAAAAATAAAATAACAACAAAGAATCGTTAAAAAAAAATTTATCTAGACCACCCACAAAGTAAAAAAAAATCATCTAAGAAGTTCAAATAATCTATGTATGTCACGTTATTGGTAATGACACGGGAAATACCACAATAATTTTCAAAGTTATGCGAACTGGGTTAAATTCCATCACCTATTATTGAAGTCGTGCAATTTGAATTTCATTAAAAATGTTACATTCACGGTTATCATCACGAGATTATTCGATTACGGAATTATAAAAAAACACGCAACACAACCGCAAATCGCTCTTATTATCGTACACAATTCCACTAACCTAATACGGCTACTATGTAAAGGCCGGTAAATTACTAGGTAAAATCCGGCAAATTGTTATTATGGTTACATTGCAGCACTTTGTAAGACGAGACTTTAACAGGTAAAAAATTGTGGAAGAATTGTGTAGACTAACAGGAACCTAACCCAATTTTAATGATTATTAACATGTCTACCTTGAAATAATCGAAGTATCGATGTGTTGTTTACAATATTTAAAAAATATTTCCTATTATAATTTTTAAAAACGCTTTAACTCTGCATTATTATATTAAATGTTTTTTGTGCACTTTGTAGATTTGGATTTATTAATGCTAATAATTGTATATCAATGTAAAATGCAGGAATGACATCAATGGCAATTACAGATATAGCCATCAATGTAATATCAAAACATCAAATATCAGTTAAAAATGGTTCACAAATTAGCTTTGTATAAAATTTTTGGGGGGTCTTTAAGTTTGACCAAATTTGTTTAAAAATGTCAAGCATCATACTAAAATTATCTCAAATGTCTAAAATTAAAAAAAAAAGTTATCTAAAATAACACAAAGTATGATGCTATATCATTTCCAACCACAGCGACTACTAAGTACTAATACAAGTTCTAATCTAACCCAACCTAACTGAACTATACCCAATCCAACTCAACTAAATCCAACCCAACTCAGTTGAACCCAACCCAACCCGAACGCTAGAGACCATAGGTACACTTAGGTTGGAGAGTCTATGACTTCGCCTGATTATAGCAGAAATGTATTTTAAGTACATAATTTCTTTTGTAAACGACTTCGGATTATTCAGGTAACCAAATTCAAAAACCTACGCTGCGTTTTGTGAGTGTTATTGAATTAGGATCACCACACTGATGCATGTGATGATATGCAACGCCTCGCGTTATTCAAACAAAATCTAAAATCTCTTTTCTGAGTTTATCTGAGATCACTTGCAGCTGGAACACTACAGTATGTGTCATCCACTGATGGGTTGATATGATATTAACTGCAGATCTTCGGGTCAACTAGAATTTTTAAAAATTTCAATTAATATTCATGAATTATCTAGAATATCTTGAATTTTCCAAGGATATCTAAATATTCGATTATCAAATTTTCAGGGACGATTTCCAGAAGATATTTAATGATTTCCAGAAGATATTTAACGATTTCCAGAAGATACTTGACGATTTCCAGAAGATATTTAACGATTTCCAGAAGATATTTAACGATTTCCAAATAATATTTAAAATTTACAGAAAACGTATGAAGAAATTCAATGATATTCATGAATTACTAAGAATATTATAGAATTCCTAAGACATTTGAGAGTTATGGAGAGTTATTCGTAGATCATCAAAAAGAAAGAAAGCATAAATATCGCGAATATAATATTTATAGAGTTATTGGAAGTGAAAAGAAAGACAAGAAACTGTAATGCGAAGTTGTGTCAATGAGCTTATAGAGTTATAGTTCTTTTTATAACATTATAATTTGCTAAACCAATTGAGATAGAGCGATTATCTATTTCAAAATCAGAAGATAAATGGTTGCCAAATCTAAAAAGTTATTGAAAACTAACACTAAAAAGAGAAACATAATAATACATTGAATTGAAAATACCCAACAATAACAGATGATGTTGAAACTAATTGTAATTGACGTAACAAAATATAAATTTCCTTTGATTATTTGTCAACCTGTCCTAGACAACCATGTGCAATGTAAATAGTCAACTTGGCGGCAAAATTATCCTTCTTTCAATACGCGAGTCGATAAAGCGCGTGAAAGCGTATACAGATAAGTTGTCGGACTCTCTGCAAGCAGGAAGTTAAAAGCAAGAATCGGCATGGATAACTGGAATCTTTGACCCTCTTTCCGCTCTATGAGTCCACAGCTCCAGATAACTAACGGCTCGACAAACATCAAACGCAAACTAAGATAAGCTCTCTGTAAGATTTAATTAAAACGCGGAGACTATTTTTAATCGAACATTTCTTAAAGACACTCTTCGACGCGACGTATACAAACATCTAGTACACATTTATGTAATAACATCTATGTGTTTATGACTGGCAAAGGCTGCTTATTATCACTTCTAAATAAATACGAGTATAGATTATTATTTTTAAAGTAAAACAATCGGACTCTTATTTAAAATTGAAAGTTCATTTTTTGTTGCGCGACGTGAGGTGGAATAATTATTGTGCAATTTTTAAAATACGGAGTTAAAAACCGGGAACATAAATAATTAACGCATACCTTGTTTTTCCGTGAAACCTGAACTAGCAAGGTGACCGTTTTAATTTCCATTCGGTTTAATAATTATTGACTTGTGACCATCGCGTTATATTCAAACGTTATACATATAAGGTGAACGCAAAATGATTACGGTCTTTGTTCGGTTCAAGTAGTTAAAGCAACAAATAGTGATCATTTATAGAACATTCTCACGTTCTGTTTCGATGTATGACATTTACAGACATTAGCAACGTTACAAACTTTGCCGTTTTTGATCTTGGATGATTTACGAAAGATAGAATCTAAAATTATGTTAAATTATTAAAAATTATAAGGAAGAAAACATAAACCTTAAAATAGGTTAATACAACTCTGCACTTTAGTTTTTTTTTGATAAAAAAACAAGATGGATAAAATAAAATCTATTTATAGAAACTCATTTGAACGGTACTACATTAATAACCGTTTAAAAATAACTACGTATAATTATCCGGTTTGATTACTGGAGAGATCGAAGTCCGGACGGTAACAAAACAACTAAAAATTTAATACAAAAATAAGACACTTTCTAATCGTATCTATTTATTCGATCGGTAAACACAAACGAACATCTAACGCCGACGCGAACTAAGTAGTAACGTTGCGTTCTTTATTAATTATTGCTACTTTTAGTTCAATAAAAATATACTACAATCTAGCGCTGAATAACAACTAAAACTAGAGCTAACACTAGCACTAAAACTAACACTACACCTAGAACTAGAAACATTCGGATTTGGCCGCACGCTCCTTAAGACGGCTAAACCCGAATGTTTTTAGTTCTAGGTCTAGTGCTAGTTCTAGTTTTACACTAAGGCTGTCGCTAGAACTATCATTGTCACTAGAACTAACACTAGACCTAAGACTAGAAACATTCGGGTTTAGCAGCACGTCTCTTAAGACGGCTTAACCCGAATGATTCTAGATCTAGGTCTAGTGTTAGTTCTATTTTTCATTTTTCTACTTTCCAATATCACTAGACGTAGAACATACAGAATTCCATTACGGATTACTTTTTTTATCATTCAAACGTGCGCAAATAATGAAGTTCCTTCTAATTACATCACCTATTTAATATTCCGCACATATGTTAATTGAACACATCACATTCAAATATACCTTGAATATTAACTAGCACCACTTACGAGTTTTTCATGTTAATGTTTTTTTTTCGAATTCTTGCAGGTGCATTTCTTGATGGTATTCCGAACGAAATGTCGATCTTGTACGACGAATACGTTTAGCACTGAACTTTGTAAAGACACTGTGTAATTTGAAGGCCAAGCGGCAATTTGCAGAAAGTTGAACTGGAACCGAGACTGACAACAATGGTACTATTGAACGTTTTAGAAAAAGTTGATCTGTTCGTGGAAGATATCGTTGTTTTAATAAGATAAAATAAGAAGATAACTTTGCGGTTCAAAATGGTGTTGCACAATTCCCTGGTGATTGTAGAACGCGCCAACAATATCGAGAGGTGCAATATTTATATTGATAAGATTGTGGTGTTTACAAAATCTATTGTAAGCTTTGTTTTTCTTTCGAATCGTAATTGTTTTTATTATTAAAATATTAATTTAATATTTGTTGAAATGATGTTGTCATTGAATATGATTTTTTCATCAAAGATTCTTACATCATTTCATTTAAAAATAAATGTGATGTAGGAAGACTTAAACTTTCAATGTTACAACTTTTGAATAATTATGTAAATTTCAATAACATTCGATTAAATTAAATCGAAACATTGAAACGTAGTCTAAAAGTAATTGTCCCCACAATCAACAAAAAATGCGAATTAATTATTATTAAAGTGCGACGTACTTACAATAAAGAATTATAAAGACTGTGTTAGCTGACAAAGACAATAAAATAAATATCTTCCGCACAACACGCGGCGTCCTTGGCAATACAGAAATAAACTTTATGGACATGTGTG